ATAGTCCAAAAAATTAGAATATTTAAAATGGAATATCTCATCACAGTAGAATTTCTTCACAAAGACAAAAAAATAAAAATGAGTTTCTGAGTGGTACATTTGTCAACCAACCAAAAAAAGCAATTTATTAAAGATAACTTAATTAGTGTTTAACTGCAACCAAAGCAGAGTGTCTAGAGAAAATAAACTTGCTTAAAAGCATCAGCCATTCAGCAAGCACAGCTGCTCAAAATGTTGAAGATGCAGAGAATATCATCAATATGTCCAATGAAGAGATAAGGCAAATGAGTCCAAGTGGTTTTGCTCGGCTCTTCATGAGTCCACAGATGTCAGAGATTCTGCTCACCTATTTATTTGAAGAGTCAATGCTGAATGTGGAATGACTTAAGAATTAGCCTCTAGGAATTTTATGTATAGAACATGATAATATTTTCAGTAAAATTGAGCAAACACTCGTTCAGTGCAATCTGATGTGGAATCTGCTAAGATGTGTTACATATCATGGTAGTTAACAACAGAGAGTAGAAAGAGGCTTAGTTGGACAATGCTGCAAAGCTTGTAGAATGTTAAGTCTGTCAAAATTTAAAACCTACAGTTATTTGCTGCATTATTCATCAGTAAATACTTTGTAAAAATATCTGAATGTAAAATGTGGTATACAACTAGTAGTGTCAACAGTGAACCTCACTTGCTCTTGTAGACTTGTCCACTGTTGGTTGTATGATTTTTTTGACAGAATTAGACACTGAATATCCTGATTAACACATGGCAGTTGTTTGATGTCTTAACAGTGGTAAAGTCTAATTGTGATGTTTCACAGTAAGAATCAATGCTGATATTTTTCTGGCTGAGGAGACTTTTATCCTAAACCACTTTTAGCTTTAGCAGTAGACATAATAATGTTCCTTAGCTGGGCAAAGGAACATTACATGCCTGTAATCCCAACTACTACATGGGAGCTGAGTGAAAGGACTGCTTCAGTTCAAGAGTTTCAAAGGCTGCAGTGAGCCATGATCCTGCCACTGCACATAAGCCTGGCAAGAGTGAGACCCTGTCTTTAAAACAAAAAAATTAAAAAGTAAAAATATAAATGTTTCTTAATGAGCTCAAGCTAAAATTACAAGGCAAAATGCTGCTTATATGCAAAATTCATACCACATTAAAGTCATGGCAGTAACAACTGATGTTACCTGAATCACAAAGTAATGTCAAACTGCTTTATATACCTCCAATGCTGTCAAAAGTTAAAAGAAGATATTCATTCCAACACACATTTCAAGGAGTATCTTTTTTTTTTTTTGAGATGGAGTTTCGCTGTTGTTACCCAGGCTGGAGTGCAATGGCTTGATCTCAGCTCACTGCAACCTCTTCCTCCTGGGTTCAACCAATTCTCCTGCCTCAGCCTCCTGAGTAGCTGGGACTACAGGCGCGAGCCACCATTACCAGATAATTTTTGTATTTTTAGTAGAGACGGGGTTTCACCATGTTGACCAGGATGGTCTTGATCTCTTGACCGAGTGATCCACTGCCTCGGCCTCCCAAAGTGTTGGGATTACAGGCATGAGCCACCGCGCCCAGCCAAGGAGTATCTCTTCTGACCTCAAATTACAGCTCCAGCAGTGTTTTTCTGCCCTTAATGCAAATGCAAAGAAAATTTCCATGTTCCCAAAACCACTTAACTGCACAACTGAGGAACCTCTACTTCAATTGGAATTGATTAATCTGCAATATAATACCTAAAATTAAAAAAAATCAAGAAAAGAATCTAACGGAATTTTATAAATGCCTTCTAAGCAATGAATGTGATCATAGATTGCAATCAAATTTGGTAGTACCTATCTGTGTGAAGACATTTTCAAAGATGAAATGTTTAAAATCTCATTATAGATCGTATTAACAGATAAATGTTTGTAATCAATTCTGGTAACAGAGAACATTAATTTAGAACCATAATTAAGTAAAATGCTAGCTCCCAAAAAGGAATTTCATTTTTCAAATTCATGCATTTTAACTACAAAAAATTGTGCTCAATAATTATTATTACACTTTGAATTTTATCCAAAAACTGTGGACATTTTCTCTCTTATTACAGTTTTATGTTTACAGGATATCTTCAATTTTGCCTGTTAGCACACAAACCTTAAATATCTATACATTATTTAGCCCTTTGCTGAAAAAGTTTACTGATCTCTGGTCTAAATCATTCAAATTCTACTTGTGTTCAAACTATATATCCATATGAGGTTATTTTGACTTTGGGAACTGGGTGGATAGGAATTCAAAGACAAAAGAAAATGTGCTTTCTTCTCATTTTGATATCTGTATATAATCACTAAGATAAATACTGATAGCATTTCAAAATCCCAAAGACAAATGACAGATATAAGTTAAGAAATAAAATGCAACAAAATACAAAGGAAAGCTGAATTTAAAAGCTGAGAACATCATCAACTTCTTCCATCTGCTTTTAGTTTGCTATAAAAAAGGGTAATATTGTATTAATTTTAGGTAATAAAAATATTGGTTGAAAAACTAGAGAATATGATTATTTTAAAAAAGAAAGAAACTATAGGTCCAATAAGACAAATACTAACAGAGACAAATCTTGTCTTCCACTACATCAATTCAACTCTTTACAAACTGAGAGTATGAGAAAAGAGGATAACCTGAAAAAAGATAAATATTAATTATTCTATATAATGACTAACCTTGGTGCCTTTCCATCAGGTGGCAGCCATCAGGTAAGCCAAGATGGGTGAGTACAAGTACATCCAGGAGCTATGGAGGAAGAAGCAGTGTGATGTGTGCTTTCTTCTGAGGTCCACTGCGGGCAGTAATGCCAGCTCTCTGCTCTCCACAGGGCTTTCTGCCCCACCTGGCCTGATAGAGCACGCTGACTGGGCTACACGGCCAAGCAAGGTTACCTTAATTAGAGGGTTGATATTCGCCGTGGTGGCTGAAAACACCCAGTTCCTAAGAGTGCAACTTAAGGCAAGCCTGTCCACTATGGTGTTAACCAGCTAAAGTTTTCTCAAGCCTTCAGTTTGTTACAGAGGAGTGAGTTGGATGCCATTTTGGGGCTCTAAGAGTCCTGAATTCTTACTGGGTTGGTAAAGATTCCACATATAAAATTTTTTGAGGTTATCCTCACTGATCCATTCCATAAAACGATCAGAAGAAATCCTGACACCCAGTGGATCACCAAACCAGTCCACAAGCACAGGGAGATATGTGGGCTTGACATCTGCAGGTCGAAAGAGCCATGACTTGGAAAGGGCCATGAGTTCCACCATTTGATTCGAGGTCCTCGCAGGGCAGCTTGGAGAAGGCACAATACTCTCTGGCTCCACCGTTATAGCTAATATAAGTAAAGCTTGTAAAATTCATACCTAATAAACAATTTAGGACCGTCAATCATGTCTGCTTACAGGTGTTATATGTCTATTAAAACTAGTCTGCAGATTGTTTCATGAATGCTTCGTCAGATTAAGAAAGTTAAAGTGCAATAATGTTTGAAGACAATAAGTGATGGTGTATCATGTTTCTAATAAGATAAACTTTTTTGTCTTTGCTTCATCTTATTTGGGAGTTATATTGCAGTGTATAAAACATACTGTGTGGTATAATAGGTTTAAAATAAATTCTTTAAAAGAGAAGTATGGAAATTAGCCCTATAGACTGTCTGGTGCCTGTGATAAAACCTGCAGCTTTATTGGGGTGCTGGCAATGCTCTGCGGGTTTACTTTCAAGTGTCTGGGTTAGCCTAAAGACAATTGCCTCAATCTCCACAGTACCATTTTAAGTTCACATAGAAAGCTCCTGGCTCAGTGCCAAGGCTTCATGGCATTCAACTGTCAGCGGAAGTGGTATTTCCACTGGTGTGTTTTGAAATTGAATATCAGATAAAATTATTAGCCTTAAAGTTGCTAAGCTAGCAATCAATAGTAGGGTGGGAAGCTGGCCAGCCAGCGGCCATTAGATAAATACCTTTCACGTGTGAGCTTAGATGTCAACCTTAAAATACTTAACTATAACACTAATTTGTGATCATTATTAAATCCCTTCAGTCACACTAGGGGGGAAGTAGTTGGCTTTAAGTACGTCATTCTTAGTCCGGTCAGTCTTAGAAACATCCTGGGTTATCCACTCTGTCCACTCTCACAGGCTACAGAAAAAGTCATACAAGTTCATGGTTTCCAACCTTACGTGTTTTCTGCAGTTATTTCTCTTGTTCCTGGCCAAACTACCCTAAAAATCCTTTCCAATTCCACATGTTTAGGCCATCACTTGTGCGCCCACTTTCACTGTAAGTATACCACCACACTGCGTTTCTGTTTGCATCGTGTCTTCCAGAAGAGTAGGCTACTGTTTTCCAGGGTGAATTTGAGTGTACAAAAGAAATTACCCAATTCTAAACTCTGACTTTGCTGACTTAATTTAAATGCTTGTTTCTCTGAACCAATTTTCTCCTGTCTTCTCTAGAAGTTTCAAAAGGCTCAGTGAATTGAGTTCCAGGAACTCACACCAAGTTCAGAAAAGTTCTTGAGATCTAAATTTCTTCTCAAAAAAAAGAAAAAATCTTAAGTCATACATTTTGATTGTGTAGGGGTTCTTCAACTAAAGAACTAAATGTCTATTATACAACAACAACAAAAAAGACTAAACTTGGCAAAATAAGAAAGAATCATTCCAGTACACTGGCGAAAAGTGGCTTTTTCTTCATTAATTAAAGATAATTTAGCATAATGTTGAATAATCATTTTACAGGCATTGAATTTTTATAGAACAGGTTATATGAAATCCCAAACACATTCTCAGCATTTCAGCATACCCCTAAAATTCATATTTCCAAACATTAAAATATACTGTTTAAATCTCATTCATTATAGGGATACTCTTTATTATATAATATATAAACAGAATCCTTAAAATACATAAACAATATCAAATGGCTTCAGTTAACACTGAAGAAGCACTCTGAATGTTTCCATTTTAAGTTATAGGGTCAATACCATGTTTATGATAAAAATTTTAATATTTAAATCTGTGTAGTGTTATACTATAAAAAACAACTATACATTTCACAAAGCTTAATACAGTCAGTAAACATGACTCAAGCAATACCATGAGAAAGAGAGAGCCTGAGAGAGTGAGAGTAAGAGTGAAAGAAAGACAGAGAGAATGAATGGAATCCAAAGAAGGAATATTAAGAAATGTCCCTGCTTGCTTCTCAACTCAATCTACATATTTTCCCTCCAAGATTACTATCATGTTTTAACTCAAAGACAGTAGACTTAGAGTAACACTTATTTATTAGGATGGTGATGCTCACCAACCCAATTAATCAGACCTTATAAATGCACTGACATTTTTATAAAGGTTCTCAATATATCATATCAATGTAATACATGTTCTGAATGCCTAGACTTTGTATTATAGGAAACAGACCTCATGTTAATGTTCATACTGAAAAGCCATTGCGGTAGAACGGCAGAGATAAATTAAGATTTGTACAACAGAAGAAAATATGACTGTTTGCAGAGAAAAAAGAAAATAGATTTACATAACCTTACATTTTGAATACATATATAACAATTAAAAAATACTTAGCCTAACTCCACAAGAAGATGAATGTGTGTGTATATATGCATGTGTAAAGACCTTTATGAATGATAAATGTGTATGACTTAGACTAGGGTCAGGTATGTTTACTACCTTGAACATTTAATACTAAATGGAATAAGCAAGTTTTAACTATATAAACCCTGCAATAATAAAAACTATCTGAACTAATAAAACAGAGCTCTAGGTTTATAAGTTATAGATTAATAATGCATTAAAATTGCCATACACCACTGAGATGATTTCTGAATATAAACAGAAGCATTATGACAGTGTGGATTAAAACCTGCATATTGATTTCCACTAATATCAGAAGACAAAAACACAAAAACTGTTCTTTTTAAACTTCACAAAATTTAGTACTCATAGCTGTATAAGACAACGTCTTTAATCTTATATATACCATTTATTAGTAAAGGGGAACAATGTTCCCAATATATTCGCCTTCAGTTAAGAAAATATACATTTATAAAGAGTTGGAGGAGAGGGAGGAAGAGATAATAAAATAAGTGGGTGGAAAATGTAAATAACTGAAGAATCTACTTAAAAGGTATATGGGAGTTTCTTGTACTATTCTTGAAACATCTCCAGAAGTTTGAATTTACATCAACAGTTACCAAGGGGTGAAGATATTAAATTTAGCCAAAAGTTTCCATTTTTACTAACTACAATATTCTGTTTGCAACTATTTTCTATTTTGAAAGCCCATATAATCTTTCTTCTCACCCAATTGCTGCTGTACTTAATCAAATTTAATTCTGGAAAAAACAATACTAGTCTTAAATTTTTTAAAAAAAAAACATAAGATTAAAAACTTCTACACAAAGAATAAACTCCAAGAGAAAAGATGCAAATAAAATGACTATAATAATCTTTTGTTTTTTATTTGCAAGTATAAATTGGAAGAAAAACAAAAGCCTGGAACATAGCATCTGTCATATCAGAATATAAAAAGATGATCCTGGCACAAAATGAAAAAGCTCTAATTCATTTGCAAATCAAGCCTGCCGGTTCCATTTCAAGCTGGCGGTAACTGTCAAGAGTTAACAAGATAATCACTTTCAATCCTGCCTTCAATGGTACATTACACTGTTATTCCATTCAATAAGGCCGTTCTTTGGGGCACTAGATGAATGGTTTTCATTTCTAACTCACACAAAAAGTTGTGCGGGGGAAAAAATCCACGGGGCTTAAGAAAGAAATCCCTTTATGGGCATTTATCTGCCGGTACTTGCTTTTAGGCAAAATGAGATATTTTGAAACATCAGTGTCCATTCACTTCCTCTATTCCTTTAGGCCCTTAATCCGCTGGAAAAAAGAAAATAGTTGGCATATGAGAAAAGTGCAAAAGCAGTTTCATTTTTTAAAATTATCAATGCACATTAAAAAAATTATTAAAATGATTATATGGAAATACAATGCTATCATATTCAAAAGACAATATTAACCAATCTCCTTATCTCATGGTAACTCATGTCACTTTCTTAGATTACTCACCTATATTTTGGGTAAAATGAAGGTGTTTAAAATTTCACATTTAATTCTTGGTGTGTTCATAATGAATTGCACTCCTAAAAAGGTTAAAATATCTTTCCAAATCATTCCTAGTTCAATGAAAATGAATTTTAGCTAGGTGTACCTTTATAATGTATTTATCAAAAAGCATTATAAAGTTTTTACTATTTCATGATTTAACTTAATTTTACAAACAAATGTAGCTAAGACAGCTATATACTTATTTTTGCAAAAACATTGAAACTACACATTTAAAAAAACAAACATATTTTTGCTTCATACAAAAAATATAGAGTGCAAAGACTTACATGTATCCACTAGTAATAGACAATTAGGCCATCTTTAAACTATAGTCTATGAGAGTAAAAGAATATTAAAATCTCTACCATGACTGCTCATGTGGTCCTATAAGCATCAAATCCATCTAACATCAGTATAAATTTATAAGAACCATCTGTGTATGAATCACAATTTATTATTCAAGTCTATTTAACAATAGCAACAATTAATCTTTCCCCACCTACTCCCTCAATTCAGGAAATAATATTGCTATATATTGCCATGTAAATCATAATCTCCAGTGAAGACTTTTAATCCTATAATCCCTTATTAGAGGAAAATATGGATTTTTAAAACTCATAGTACAAATGTCCTATGAAGGACTTAAAGTCCTTCTAAAATCATTACTTCAAAGAAAAGTTAGTATATTTTATATCCAAAGGCTTTAAGAAGTTAGAACATTCATGTTTATGACTACAAAGCCTACATGCTTAAATTTTAAAATTCGGATGATTTCATGAATTCCATATGACATGGGGATAATCCTTTTACAAAAGGGAGAAGTTCTTCTGAAGCAGCCTAAGTTCACCCAATTCTTCCAAGTTTCAATCTGACTAGTCATTTATTATCCAAAAGGTAAAAGTTATCCGTGTTCTTAAAATAAATTACAAAAGGATGGAGGAAAAAATGTATGGGAAAATAATTCAGAAAGTTTTATATTATCAGATAGACTTGGTCACTAATATTTAAATTTTAGATTAACAATCTAAAGTTTGTCATTGCGAACAAATTATAATGAATCTGTATACTTTAAAGTCCTTATAAAATTTAAGTTACGGCAGAAAACCAGGAAATTTAAAACATAAATGCCTATACCCAAATCTATTATGTATTTTTTAAAACTTGCATGGTAATATAAAATGACAATAATGTTCAGAAAATCTTACTATGCCAAATTTTAAACCCTTGGTACCAAAAATGTTAACACACAAAGTAAACAGTGAGTATTATGGTATGCTCAATAAATTATGATGGAAATACATGACCACAATGTGTAAAACCAATCCGTGAATTTACAAATTCCTAAAGAACCCTACAAACACAAAGCTACTGGCAGAACACAATTCTATTAGAGCTTAGTATTGTGAATCAGTTCCCATGCAGGCTAAGGATACTAAAGTCTTCCTATCATTGAGGTACCCTATCCTTTTGTTGGGTTCCAAGATGATGGTTAACTTGGGAGGCAGAAATGTTTGATCTTGCAGCTTCAAGCTGCCCTGCTGCAGCCTCTTTCCCTTATTAGATCCCTGGGGTTAGCTTTAAGCAAACACAGCAGCAAAGGCAGCAGGGAGTATGATGGATCTCCTATATATCAACTATTGGAAGACCAATGAAGAGTGCTCGAGGAACAGCACAAGCCTTGGACAAAAGCTTTTCCAAGAGTCTCAAGCAGGTTCCAGCAAGCAACCTGGTGTACTGCATTACGTATGCAGTTGCTTCTATCCATTACTCACACTGGTACCAGGAAAGGAAAATCTTCTGTCTATAGAAATACAGCTTCTAACTTACAGGGATATCTACTAGCATAGTAAACATTTGCTTTTAATTTCTTTAGTTAAAAGAAGTTCTTCAGAAATTACATTAGAATTTATTCTGATATCTTCAAGATCTCAAAAAAAAACAACAAAAAAACAGGGTAATTCCTTAAGAACAGGTAAAATAAGAAATCTGTTTTCTGAAAATACTAAAAGCATGGTAGTAGGGAAAATAAACTTCATTATCAAATGAGTAAGGTAGAAGGGAAATAAACTTAATTAGCATGTAAAAATGAAATATTTAAAAGGCTTTCAAAATTCGAGAATATAGTAAAACTTCAAAAAGATTCTCGTATATCATACACCATAAACTAACAATAGTTATATTAACTAACCAAAAAATTTTAATGAAGAAAACTAATGAAATAATTTTCTAAATGTCATTTAGACACACTCTTGGATATTTTAAACATATCTGAAATGAATGCCCATAATTCACAAAGAGCTCCCAAAAACCAAAGTAGTATATAAAAAGGTGAACAACATAACGGAATAATTAAAAATGAAAATTAATTGGCAATTCACCAAGAAAAAAATAAATCAGCTATTACTCTATAAAAAGATGTTCAACCTTAATGATAATATTTAAGAAATAAAAATCAAAATATAATCCTTTTTGTTGCCTTCTCAAGTAGCAAAAATTTAAGATTATAACCTTTTTCAAATTGGTTGTAAGGAAATGAAAGTCTCATATAATTATGTATTTTGAATGAAAGGGAAATACCTCAAATAATATTTTCTGATGTTTAAAATAACAGAGGAAATATACTATGATTAATAAAAATGTTCAAGAATGTCATGCATTTATAAATGATATGCATTAGAGACATAAATTTAATCTTTAGTATAAAAATTATCTCAAGTCGCAGTATTATTAAATGTTCTGTTTTAATGCAACTTAAAATTAAGACTAATAGTGAAGGAGTGGCAGAAAAAAATGCTGACAGAAAACAATTTTAATAACTAAGTAACATGGTAAGATGTGTATTTATGAACACCAAACAGAATCCAAAAAGCCACCACAATTAGTCTAATCACAAAAATCTCACTTGGAAGTGAAGAGTTACTATTTTATTTATTGTTTTATTATCTTCTGGTGTTGGGGCACTCCTATGGCTATGGCTGCAGAAACACAATAGTAAAAAACCCCAGCCTTTGGGCTCAAGGTTCCAGAATCAAAGTTTAGGGCTGACAGAACACAGAAAATGTAGAAGGGAAATGCTGGCAAGAAGAGAACCACAGAAAGAGTATGACCCAAATATGTATACAAATTATGTCAAAACCCTTGACTAACAGCTAAATTATATAAACTGAAGGGAAATTTTCAGGGAATCCAGCAAAATAGTAGCCAGAGATTAGAAAGAAATATACCTTTGATGCTTTTTACAACTGAGTGTATTAACCAAATACATGTCTCTCTGGTGGTAGAAAGGTGAAGAAGAAAGAACTTCAAGTGTCTGAGGACAGATTATAAAGCTGGTAGAACAGCTAAAAATGAAGCAATCAACCACAGAAGCAAAACAGACAGATTGAGCTCTATTTCTACTTAAATTCTTAGCTGACAATAAAATTACATAGAAATAGAAAAGACCATCCCACAGAGCCAATCTAAAAATATAACAATAGGAAGCCATAACAGTACAGAAATATTAGATAGTACCTATAGTAAAGATCTTTATAGTTTCAAGTAAGGAAAGTACAAAAACAGAGCAAAATAATAATCCCCAGGAGAACACAACAGAATTCAGAGTGACTATAATGTTTTTTTAGGCCAAAAGAAAAAAACAGACATGGAAATAAACAGCGTAAGATAAAAGTAAATCAAAACTATTAGTGAACCAGATGTTCATTTTATCACATATTTATTGGCAGTTATTATAAACTGTTTAAATAGTGAAGGAAAAATAATATCAATGAATGGATGGGAAATCTCATCAGATATATGAAAACTATATTTTTTCAAAAAGGAAATTCTAAAGCTAAAAGTAAAATAGATAAAAATTCATTAAATGAAATCAAGAAAAAAAAACAAACAAAAAAGTAGTGAACCTAAATACAGACAAACATAAGCTATTCAATTTGGAGTACAAGAATAAAAATTAAGGAAAATGAACAGGATCTCAGGATATCTGTAGGACAATAGCAAGTGGTCCAAGATATGTGTAAGGTTCACCAACAGAAAAAGAACAAATGAGCTAACAGAATATCTGAAGAAATAATAGCATAAAAGTTCCCAAATTTGAGGGAAAACACTGATTTACATAGACAAAAGTTCACTAAAAAGTGAGATTTTCAGTTTGGCTAAACATAAACAAAAATCTCTCTTACACATGATAGTCAAATTTCTGAAAGCCAGAGATAAAAAGAAAACTGGCAAAGAGGCCAGAGAACAAAGACACAGTATATAATGAAACAACTGTAAGATTACAGCTAACTTCTCATCAGAAACTATGAAAGCCAGAAGACACTGGAGCAACATATTTAAAGTGATGAGGAAAGAAAAAATTGTCAATCAAGAACACATATGTATTTGAATGATAGTAAAACTATCATTCAAAAATGAAGGTGAAATAGGCCAGGCATGGTGTCTCATGTCTGTAATTCCAGCACTTTGGAAGGCCAAGGCAGATGGCTCACTTGAGCTCAGGAGTTTGAGACTAGCCTGGGCAACATAGGGAAACTTTGTCTCTACGAAAGATACAAAAATTAGCCTGGCACAGTGGTGTGTTCCTGTAGTCTCAGCTACTCAGAAGGCTGAGGCAGAGAATAGCTTGAGCCCAGGAGGCAGAGCTTGCAGTGAGTTGAGATCATACCACTGCACTCCAACCTGGCCAACAGGAGTGAAAACCTGTCTCAAAAGGAGGGGGAAAAAAGAAGGTGAAATAAAGATACTTTTGCTTGGAATAAATAAAATGGGAT